GCTCCCCTATCCACCCTGCCATACGCTTCTTCCCAATCCATAAATGCCACAAAAACCACTTTACCCTTATCTAATACTGTTCACCTACATGTTTCACTGTAAACACTTGGTCTACACACCCCGTACGCACCCTCCCTACATCATCCTTGTTCATCTGCTATCCTACTCTCCGGCTTACTTTTAATTCTTTCAATCAAACCATACCAGGTATACTCAACAGACTTGTTCCTCTATAACTTTTGCGCTCTCTTTTGTCCCTTTATCTTTATACTAAGAAACTGTGCATGCTCTCTGCGAATCCCTAGGTGCCTTACCCTCTTCCATACCTTTATTAAGTAAAAGCACCAACTACTACAAAACTATATCCCCACCTGCTTTTAACATTTCTGTCTTATATATATATATATATATATATATATATATATATATATATATATATATATATATATATACAAGGAATTCGCAAGAGCAGGCGAAATATACACAAACACTGATCTCTGGCTGAAGGAGACTCGAACCTCCGAACCTTAGAACAAGGTACGCAGTGCTATACCATTCTCACCACATTGGACCAATACCTTGGCGTACAGCTTGCGCTAGACGTTGATCCAAGGCAGCCAGCTTTCAGGGAGAAGGCTTACAGCTTTTTATCTCATCCCCTGCATGCATCAGCCTTACTAGAGATTTTAACAATGCAAGGAATTCGCAAGAGCAGGCGAAAAGCTGGCTGCCTTGAATCAAAGTCTAGCGCAAGATGGGCGCCAAGGTATTGGTCCAGTGTGGTGAGAATGGTATAGCACTGCGTACCTTGTTCCAAGTTTCGTAGGTTCGAGTCTCCAGCCAGAGATGTAGTGGAGGCAGGATCCATACATAGCTTTAAGCAGAGGTATGATAAAGCTCACGGTTCAGGGAGAGTGACCCAGTAAACATATGTAAAATATATTTAGTTCTATTAGACTAAATTAAACTGCGCTTGTTATAATAAGTTTAGGTAAGTTTTCTAAGATTCTTTCAGTACAAAATTATTAATTTTTACATTAACACAAATGAAAGAATATATCTTTAAACGTATGAGATGAGTTCTTCCTAATTTACCAGTTTTACCTATTCGGCATATATATATATATATATATATATATATATATATATATATATATATATATATATATATATATATATATATATATATATATATACATACATATATACATAATACATACATAATACATATTGTGGTGAGTAGTTAACCTTTAGTGCTGAGGTTTTTTCCTCTAAGGAAGCAATCTCTTGATGTTAGGTTGTGTAAATTATAATATGCCAGTTATATTTATCAAATTGGTGTCTGTTAATAATAAGCCACAGTGTTTAACTTCATTTTGTTATCCTAGGTCAATTCAACATAACGTTCCTTTATGTGCCTATAACATCTGTGTCAGTAAAACTGTTGTAGTACAGTTTTATGTTACATGGGCCTGTTTAGGTCCTAATTTGCTCATTTGGAAGAAATTTGGAAGAAGTAAATACTACTTTTTGTGATTTTATCATGTGTTTACCTTCATCCATGATGAGAACTTGATAATGAAATTTTGGAGCGCCTTCAGTCGTAATGTTCTTGTGTATTTTAGAATAATTGGTCTCTTTGCAAGAATTTTATTAGATTTTGGATGAGTATGTTCTAATTTACTGTTTTATTGAAAAAATTAGGATATAAGTTCCCATATGTTTATTTGTGAATCTCTCTCATGATTTCCTCCAAACCTTCAACACTAATATTTAACTACAAAATTAACTTATGCCGCATTCTCCATTACTTCAGTGGTGTGCATCGAGGTACATAGAACTAGGATAATGGAATACGGGAACATTTCTCGGATAGCCCAGCAACCGAAATTCGTCTAGTTGAAAGTATTTTTTGTATCTATTTTGGGGTGTGTCGGTGCCAGTTTATAATTTTTTGCTTTTTAATTAAAAAGTTCTAAAAACCGCTATATTTTTCTTTTCTCGTTTACATTGCATTTAAAATTCTCTTCCAACTTATAAGAAAAAATAAGTCAAATATGTTTAATTATAGGACTGGAGACAGTTTAAAATATAAATGAAAAAAGAAAACTGAAAAAAATATTACAGTTTTAAGGCATTCTTAAATTTAATTAGGATAGACGTTACAATTTTTAGAACATTTCCCACAAACATTTTGTTTTTCTCCAAAATTATCGTTTACAACTCAAGAACGCGTTATTCGACGGCTAAAAATTTTCAGGACAAGTGTACTTTATCTAAGACAAGACTCACAGGACTATCTACATGTGTTGGTTTCCTCTGGACAATGACTATTACCTGATTTTGTTCCCGTGTTATAACTGGAGAAAACCTCCTCTGATCGGCTTTAAAATTTCAACAATTGTGTCCTCCTTAGACGAACGTTGGTATTATTTATTAACAGAATGTATAGGTGCCGGTTTGGCACTTTTAATCTAGAAATGCTCTGCATTCAGGTAGTGGGATGTTAGAGGGTCAATGTGTGGGTATGTGGGATGTATTTAACACAGAGACTAAAATTCAACTGTAAACAGTATTATTCCTCAATAGCAGATTCAGCATATGATATGAATGAAAAAAATATCTTGGTGTAAAACAAATTTTGATGGATTTTGTGTTTTAACTAGAAAATATCTCGTCTGGTTGACTTTAGTCTTGTAATTTAGATGTGTTTTCGTTAATGGAAGCTTTGCTTTGATTTTAGCCTTCGTAAGTTTTAATGTGTTTTATTTATTTTATTTTTTTGTAATAGTTTCTGTGAAATAATTGTAGAATGTTTCTTCAGATCAGAAATAAATCAGTGTTTAACTATAATTGGTTATCCTAGGTTAACTCTACATAATGTTCATTTAATAAATTTTTCTTACATGCTGGTAAATCTTAGAGAAAAGCTTGGATATATTATGGGCTGTGTTGGTCCCAATTTGTCTTATTTTATGCAAAAATTGCGAACAAGCGATACAACATGCAAAACAACCGTGGGGGGAGTTGAATGATAGCTCTAGGCCTTTCGTGTTGCAATCAACACATCAGGAGCTTGCAATATTGCAGAAAGGAGTCTCAAGCTAATACTACCACAGGAAGCACCTTTGATGTCTTTTTTTGTGTAAGAAACAAGCAAAAGTTAAATACTGATTTCCATGCAATAATTTCTGAGAGCCTAATTTTATTGCCTTTACCTTATTGATGATGGCTTGATAATTCCAATTATGACTGGCTTCAAACTTAATATCTTGGTATGTTCTCGGATATTTGACCCTCTAAGATAATGAGAGAATGTCTCTCTAGTTTAGCTTCATAGCAAGTACTTCTTAGTGGAAAATCTGTTTGTTTAGGGCTGTATATGTTATTGTCATTTTTTATTGAAATAACTAGGATATTAGTGACCGTATGATAACTTCCTAATACAAAATCTGATTAGCTGCAGATCTTCACTGTTAATGCTTAACAGCATTATAAATTTGTGCTACATTCTGTATTAACCTTTCCGCGTACATTACATAAGGGTGGATCTGGGGTTATGCAATACTGCGAAACCGTTTATTAAGTGGAAAAAATAAGATCTCTTAATATTCTCGATATATTGTTCTACAGAGAGAGGAATACTAAATAAATTAAACAGTAAAACGAGATTTTAAAACGACTCGTTGAACATTTGCTCCCACCTTGACAAGAGTACTAAGACAACTTTCTTCCTTAGTGTTTTTAGGATTTCTAGCTCTATGCCTTGGAGATCAATGCATATATTGAACACAAAAATACCGTCTGTATTTTCCCATTTACTTTATCATCGATTACTGGAAACGGACAGCAAGCATCCTGGGCAGAATCAACAATAAGTCGAGAACAGAAAGGATCTACTGGATACATTGTGTTACCAGTCAGAAGCGTGGCATCCAATGTAACTAATTTTACTAACAACTGTCTCTAGTTATATGCTCTTCCACCTTCAACAAACTGCGTAAAGGAAACGGCCTGGTCCCTTGTTCTGCAGATTTGCGAGCATAAATACTCTTGCAGCCGTGAGTGTTATTAACGCCTGTGTACATCATCGATGGGATAATGCTAAGCCTTCCGTAGAGCAATTTCAAGCAGCATCCTATAGAAGTTGGGCAGCTACAGTCTCTCCAACCATTTGTCAAGTGAGCAATTGAAAAACATAGGCACAGCCATCAGGTGATACCATTCTAGGTGTACTGTCACGTGTCACCTACTACTTAGCACTCGATTCCATTACTACATGTGATCTCACTACATGCAGTTGACTCTCGGCTTGCTTCATGTCAGCTGTCACCACAAATTGTAGGTGTTCCCTTCTTCATTGTCTCTGAATTAGGACTGTAGAAGCCATTCGTGGTAAAATCTTTCCTTTAACATCTGTCATAACTGTACGTGTGTGTATTTTTCCACAGATGTTCTGCATCAAAGAGGGATTGGCCTCACCGTCCTCGGTGTTCGATTGTATTAGGCGTAAACATGCAAGTTTTATGAGGGTCTTGTTCTATAACTTATGACTTTTCGAGGTACTTAATTCACACGTGCTAGGCTTCATAAGGCGGTTCATTTCCAGCTATTAGACGCCTTGAGGAGAATAGATAAAGATATAGTTTCTAGGTGTATGGAAAAAGTTGAGTTTCTGGTCTTCTGCCTAGTAAGGACTAGGCTTCGGATAGCGCAGTTTCCGAAACTTTTTTTTCTGCCTCCACCTACGAGCTGGTAGTGAACAACTGTAATGCCATTATTCTGTGCAATAGTTGGGACCATCTCAACTGATGGATTAATAAAAATATTTTTTGGCTTATTTAAAAGCCGCTGATGCAACGAGGGGTGTATTAGCCATCCACCTTTTGCCTTGTGTTCAATTCAGTTATATTGCAATATTAACTATTAAATTAAGAGTACTGATAAGAAATATGTTTTAAAGTTTGAACTAAACATAAAGCGTGTATGCAGTTTTTTACCTGTCCAAGGTATAGATAATCTTCAAAAGACTTGAGACTTCCATCATCTGGTGGGAGGTGCATATGAAGACCAATCTGCAGTGAAAGTTCCTCCTGTCCTCCTGGATGGTGCTGTCGGTGGTACATCATTGGAGACTCACTATTCCAATCCTCTTCAATTGTCACTTCTTTCAAAGTTCTAAAAATATTAATGATGGAAAGAGAAAAGAAGTTACTGTTTCTCAAATTAAGTGGTGTCATTAAATTTAAGAACTTGTATGTTCATCATATGAAAATAAAATTAATAATAATATTATTATTATTACATATTATTATTACATTATTTCATATTAGTAGTAATATTATATTCTTATTACATATAATTATCATTATTATTATTATTAGTGCTCATGGTTTTTTAATTTCAAGAGTTTGTGATATTTCCTAAATAAAGCTAGGTGGTTCAGAATGTAGGCGATGTTCTTTTTCCTAGAGATCACAATATTAATGAGTTCCTACCTAGACTCAATGATCTGGTACCTTCCATTAAGTTCACAACAGAGCATGAAACAGATAACGCTCCACCTTTCCTAAATGTTTTAATCCATAGTGTTGACAGAAGATTTAAATTAACAGTTTACAGGAAGTCTATTTTCCAATCATGAGTCTAGGGTTAAAAGGAGCATTTTCCTTACAATGTTCCTGAAAGCCTTGCGTATCTGCAACCCGGAGTATTTAGAATATGAAATAAAAAAGATACTTTAACATAGCTACAAGATTGAGATATCCCAGGGATTTTGTTGAGAAGGCCCTCTTGTTAGCTAGGAAGACTTTCTACAGGAGTGAACCTAAAGAAATGCCTCCCATATAAAACGTACTAATTTTAACCTACAGTGAGAATTTGGTCAGCTTGTGTGAGGCACCAGAAAAGTTCAATATAGTACACATTGACTTCAAAAACACTGGGACAGTGAAACAGTGATGGCAGTGTTTACAAAGTCCTATGCACTCTTTGCCCTCTGTCATACACACTAGACAAAAGGGTAAACAACTGAAAACCAGATCAGCCCAACATCAGTACTTAATCAGGATGGACCAGGAATTAACAACGGCATCTCTTGCAATCATCCACAAGGGTGGGAAGTTGCTCAGATCATTGTACCCAACAGTTCCGTCATGAAAAGAAATATAATTGAATCCTCACTCTTGAAACATGATAGAAATGCCTTATATAAATAAAAGTTATGATAGCTATTTAGTGGAGTCTGTTGAGCAAAACCTTAAGCAACAATGCTATACAAAAATCGCAGAATTGCTCATTATGACTCAGGGCCTAGTCAGGATGTGGCGACATTTGACCAGCATTCTCCGCACCTATCCTGCACGTTTTGCCAACTGTGGAACGCGCCCTGCCAGTCGGTATAATATATGAACAATAGTAGTAATCCTATTTAGGTACAGCTGCATAAAGGTTCCTGCAAGGTTACAGGTACACAAGGTTAAGTGACTACAATCATGCAATCAGTGATTTAAACATGGTGATTGCAACTAGCTTACGAGTTAGGTTAAGAAAGATCTTTGCGAAATTACTGCATACATAAATTTTCGCCTGCCTTATTCGACAAGAAGAGCGTTGCTATTTAAGCCAAAATCTCAAGTTTTACCTATTCGGCACGACATGTATATATATATATATATATATATATATATATATATATATATATATATATATATATTTATATATTATATATATCGTGCCGAATATGTAAAACGTGATCTTGGCTTAAATAGCAACGCTCATCTTGCCATATAAGACAAGCGAAAATTTGTGCATGCAGTAATTTCGCAAAAATCATTCTGAACCTAACGAAAAAAATATATTTCATTGTTTAGTATTAAATTATTGTAAACGTATCTAAAATATATTTAGCTGGATTAGGCTAAAATAAATCGCGCATGCTCTAATAAGTTTAGGTAAGTTTTCTAAGATTCTTTTGGTGCAAAATTATAAACTTTTACATTAACATTAGTGAAAAATATATATCTTTAAACTTACAAGAGAAACTTTTAGAAAGGACTTAGTTTTAAATGAGTTCTTGCTAACTGACCAGTTTTGCCTGTTAGGCACCACCTCTGGAACTGTTCTGGGGACCCTCATGCTCAGAGAAATTATATATATATATATATATATATATATATATATATATATATATATATATATATATATATATATATATATAATATATAATATATATATATATATATTTAATTTCAACAAGTCGACCGTCTCCCACCGAGGCAGGGTGACCCAAAAAGAAAGAAAATCCCCAAAAAGAAAATACTTTCATCATTCAACTCTTTCACCTCACTAACACATAATCACTGTTTTTGCAGAGGTGCTCAGAATACAACAGCTTAGAAGCATATACGTATAAAGATACACAAACATATCACTCCAAACTGCCAATATCCCGAACCCCTCCTTTAGAGTGCAGGCATTGTACTTCCCATTTCCAGGACTCAAGTCCGGCTATATAAAAATAACCGGTTTCCCTGAATCCTTTCACTAAATATGACCCTGCTCACACTTCAACAGATCGTCAGGTCCTAAATACCATTCGTCTCCATTCACTCCTATCGAATACGCTCACGCACGCCTGCTGGAAGTCCAAGCCCCTCGCCCACAAAACCTCCCTTACCCCTACAACCTTTTCGAGGACGACCCCTACCCCGCCTTCCTTCCCCTACATATTTAAATGCTCTCCATGTCATTCTGCTTTGATCCATTCTCTCTAAATGACCAAACCACCTCAACAACCCCTCTTCTGCCCTCTAACTAATACTTTTATTAACTCCACACCTTCTCCTAATTTCCACACTCCGAATTTTCTACATAATATTTACACCACACATTGCTCTTAGACAGGACATCTCCACTGCCTCCAACCACCTCCTCGCTGCTGCATTTACAACCCAAGCTTCACACCCATATAAGAGTGTTGGTACTACTATACTTTCATACATTCCCTTCATTGCCTCCATTGATAACGTTTTTTGTCTCCACATGTAGCTCAACGCACCACTCACCTGTTTTTCCCTCATCAATTCTATGATTAACCTCATCCTTCATAAATCCATCTGCCGACACGTCAACTCCCAAGTATCTGAAAACATTCACTTCTTCCGTACTCCTCCTCCCCAATTTGATATCCAGTTTTTCTTTATCTAAATCATTTGATACCCTCATCACCTTACACTTTTCTATGCTCACTTTCAACTTTCTACCTTTACACACACTCCCAAACTCGTCCACTAACCTTTGCAATTTTTCTTTTAGAATCTCCCATAAGCACAGTATCATCAGCACAAAGCAACTGTGTCAATTCCCATTTTGTATTTGATTCCCCATAATTTAATTCCACCCCTCTCCAGAACACCCTAGCATTTACTTCTTTTACAACCCCATGTATAAATATATGAAACAACCATGGTGACATTACACATCCCTGTCTAAGACCTACTTTTACCGGGAAGTAGTCTCCCTCTCTTCTACACACCCTAACCTCAGCCTCACTATCCTCATAAAAACTCTTTACAGCAATTAGTAACTTACCACCTATTCCATATACTTGCAACATCTGCCACATTGCTCCCCTATCCACTCTATCATATGTCTTTTCTAAATCCATAGATGCAATAAAAACTTCCCTACCTTTATCTAAATACTGTTCACATATATGCTTTAATGTAAACACTTGATCTACACATCCTCTACCCACTCTGAAACCTCCTTGCTCATCTGCAATCCTACATTCTGTCTTGTCTCTAATTCTTTCAATTATAACCCTACCGTACACTTTTCCTGGTATACTCAGTAAACTTATTCCTCTATAATTTTTACAATCTCTTTTGTCCCCCTTCCCTTTATATAAAGGGACAATACATGCTCTCCGCCAATCCCTAGGTACCTTCCCCTCTCTCATACACTTATTAAACAAAAATACCAACCACTCTAACACTATATCCCCCCCTGCTTTTAACATTTCTGTCATGATCCCATCAGTTCCAGCTGCTTTACCCCCTTTCATTTTACGTAATGCCTCACGCACCTCCCCCACACTCACATCCTGTTCTTCTTCACTCCTAAAAGATGGTATACCTCCCTGGCCAGTGCATGAAATTACCGCTTCCCTTTCTTCGTCGACATTTAAAAGGTCCTCAAAATATTCTCGCCATCTATCCAAAACCACCTCCTCCCCATCTACTAACTCCCCTACTCTGTTTTTAACTAACAAATCCATTTGTTTCCTAGGCTTTCTTAACTTGTTTAACTCCAATTTTTTTTCTTTTCATTAAAATTTCTTGACAGTGCCTCTCCCACTCTATCATCTGCTCTCCTTTTGCACTCTCTCACCACTCTCTTCACCTTTCTTTTACTCTCTACATACTCTATTCTTCTTATTACACTTCTGCTTTGTAAACACCTCTCATAAGCTAACTTTTTTCTCTTTTATCACACCCTTTACTTCATCATTCCACCAATCACTCTTCTTTCGTCCTGCCCCCACCCTCCTATAACCACAAACTTCTGCCCCACATTCTAATACTGCATTTTTAAAACTATTCCAACCCTCTTCAACCCCCCCACTACTCATACTTGCACCAGCCCATCTTTCTGCCAATAGTTGCTTATATCTCACCCGAACTTCCTCCTCCCTTAGTTTATACACTTTCACCTCCCTCTTACTTGTTATTGCCATTTTCCTCTTTTCCCATCTACCTCTTACTCTATCTGTAGCTACAACTAAATAATGATCCGATATATCAGTTGCCCCTCTATAAACATGTACATCCTGGAGCCTACCCATCAACCTTTTATCCACCAATACATAATCTAACAAACTACTTTCATTACGTGCTATATTATAACTTGTATATTTATTTATACTCTTCTTCATAAAATATGTATTACTTATTACCAAACCTCTTTCTACACATAGCTCAATTAAAGGCTCCCCATTTTCATTTACCCCTGGCACCCCAAATTTACCTACTACTCCCTTCACAACATTTTTGCCCACTTTAGCATTGAAATCCCCAACCACCATTACTCTCACACTTGGCTCAAAACTCCCCACGCATTCACTCAACATTTCCCAAAATCTCTCTCTCTCCTCTACACTTCTCTCTTCTCCAGGT